CTTATTGAATATTTGCACACACATGAACTTGTTGGGAAAACTCTATCAAATGTATAGGAACCAGGTGAGTCTGTACACGTGTCAGAAAGAAGAAACAGGCAGGAAAGCTGACCTGAACAGAAGAAGGAAAGAAATAAAATTTTCCACCAGGAATAGCCAGACTGTCTGAGCTACAGAATCTGGGATGTGTCCACCCAATATTTTGTGGAAAGGCATTTGCTTCAGAATTAGATCAAGCCCGAACAAAGCTGGAATGAACTAACTTACCTTCATTCCAGCTTTCCCATCTTCACAGTATTTCCATATTTGCCAAAAGGACTCAAAACATTATTTAAAATTACTGACAAGAAGATCAATCACTGTCCAAAACAATCTGAGGAAATTCCAGACAAGGACTAAATTGCTGAAAATTAAGGCAATTGATCCTCATTAGTGCTACTGTCAGCGTAAAAAAAAAAAAATTAAAATACTTGATTAATTCCATCTAGCAACAGGTATTTAATGCAGACACCTGAGTCAGAAACCAGATCACACTAGTCTCTCTGTGTAATCCATGAAGAGTAGCAGCTCCTCCTGAAGATAATTCACTGTAACATCTAACTTACCATTTCTGTATAAGCGCATTGGCGGTCAAAACTGCCCTCCAAGCAATACTCAAACACTCATGCTCATCATCAACTAGTGAGAGGCCTGATGCACTGTCCTGTCACTTTTTATTTCAACCTCAGTCTCTCATTTCTATTGGTCAGAGTTCAAAATGCAATTTGAAAGCCAAATACAGACTGAACTAAAACTTCAGACACCAAAAAGTAACTTACTAAAATCAATCCAAAACTGAAGCTTGAAATAATATTTTAAACAACATAATGACATTGATTTGTCCAGAATTAAAGATAATACTCCTACCCAGAGTATAATATTCCTATATAGATTCAGCTGAAGTCTCCAAATAGTCCTGACTTTCATCGTCACATCATTAAATGTATCCTTATAAATACTTTCAGTCCAACCAAAAGTGGAAGTAGCAATAAGTCCTGGCTCCTAACTGTCAAAAATCCTAACTCATTTGCCCACATGTACCTCAGAACAGAAGGTACCAAAAAGCCACCTTAAGAGTAAGGAGTGGCTTTAGCTAGAACCCTGTGCCAAACCTTTAGCCTCTGTCTACAGTTCTGTCACTGATTACAGGTTCAGACTGATGGGTGACTTGAAGAGCCACAGCCCACAGATCAAAGATAGCCAAGTTGGCAACAGACACAATGCACGTACTGTATGCACCCTGACATAAACCAAACTGTACTGACAATACCTCTCACAATTAATATCAAGGGCAGAGCTACATTCCTTTTTAAACAGAATACAGTATTCAAAATCAAGATATTCCCTTCCTAAAGTGTTAAGAATAACTTAACTTTCCAGGATTGATTCTAAGGACAAGACCTGTATAATCAAGGAAAGGGAAAATGTCCTAATTTCAATTCCTGCTAAATCCCATCCCACAAATTACTGCCTTATTCAGAAAGCCAAACTCACCCTGCTAATTATAAATTATTCTCTTCCAATTAGGTAATGGAAATAATAACAAATGTCTTAAGTAACTCATCACATCTAAATAGCACAGCTTGTATTATGGATACCAAGTATTCCATACCACAAAAATACTCCAGGAATATGAACAAGGAAAGTGCAGTCTGTCTGCATGAACTCTGCAAGTGGAAGAGGTTACTGACCAAAACGTAGATAATTAAAAATTATTTGGGACTAATCTGAAATGTAGTTAATATATCATCATTCACAAGCATTCTACATGTGACTCATTCTAAGTGTGTTAATTTATTTTAAAGATGTTGTATGTGCTGTTTTTGCCTTTGTACAAGATTTTACAAATGGGTAGTTAAAGTGAGCTCTGCAAGACCAGTGAGTGGAATATTTCTGACTACTCTAAATGCATGCAAAGGGGAAGACCAGACTGAAAGCAGATTACACTGATTTTATACATGTCCCCGAGTGTCATGTACAGTCTGCACAGTGACTTTTAAGTGCCACATGATTATTATGTAGAAGCAAGCTAATCTTTGGTGTATATTAGCTTGAAGCTTTCAAACAGCATAATATCTTTTCATGTTACTAGTCCTGAATACAAAGAAAAATTTAATAAAAACTCCAATTAGGAGCACTCCTGGATATGAATATGCTCAACAGGGTTTTGCAATTTGATATCCAAGAGCTGCATATTTATCTTAGAAAATTCTGGCAGCTAGCTAGTGAGGTTACAGCAGGGCAGCGACACATGAAGGCAATCTTCATTCTGCTCCCTGGCTAGCAGATTATTTGTAATAGTTCATGGATGAAAGGACAGGAGAATGATACCAAAACTCTGCTTTTGCAGTACAGTATTAAAATACTCTTGTGTGCTCATAAGCAGAACTACAGTTACCATATAAGAGCAGGAATTAAGAGGGAGGATGAAAGATTAGTTCCCCCTTCTGATAAGGGGGAATGGCCAGTGATTCAGACACTCACCTCTAGTCACTCATCTGACTTCAATTTCTTGCCAGGTCAAGAGACCCACTCACTGATTGTGCCTTCTCCTGTAAAATGGCAATAGCAGAACATCATGGGCAGGGCAGAAGGAAGCCTGGAGACAGAGAGTTGTTGAAATGCTATGAGTATAGCCAGAGGTGTAACAGAGAGGATTTGTTTACTTAAAGCAAGGGCTGGTTGCTTTAAGATGCAATGGTTCTGCTCCACCACTTTCTCCCCTTCCTTGTCTGTTTCCCCTTTCCCACACACACACAGCTTCAGCTCCTCTCTTGTGTAACTTATGATGCTCTACAATAAAGCCAATTCAACTAACTAAGCAGTAAAAAACCTATGCTTTTCTTTTGTTTTGAAATTATTTTATTATTTAGTGCTGCCAAGTTAAATCAGGTTAGATATAGATGCAGTTAGATCTAGAGACAGTGAAGAGGACATCTGGAATTATGCAGCCTGAAGAGGGAGGAACTGAGCATGGGAGAGCAGGAGGATCTTCCTTCTTCAATAATTCACTGGACTGAGAGCTATAGCATGTAACTGCCCCTGGGTGACAGACCACTCAGGTGCACAGGGACAGAGAAAAGGAGCAGCTGCTCTTTGCTAGGAGTGGAGATCAAAGCCTCGTCCAGCATAGGCACCCAGAGCTCCAAGAGACACCCAGAGATTGACAAGGAGCTCATAAACACATAATCGAGCTGGAACTTGATATAATCCTTTTTTGAAGAAGACTGAAACAGTAGCAGACCAAAAATACAGGCAGGGAAGTTTACTGCCAGCTAAGACAAATACTTTCTTTCCCCAACCAGAGAAGTTATTAAGTCGTGGCTTCAATTGACTGCACAGCGCTACCCTACCAGATTTGATACTGTTATTCAGTTTGTTTGCAAATAATATCATCTTTCTAATCTATTTTGCTTTCACTACATGCTTCAAGAACAGCTGTGCATTTAAATAAGGGTGTACCAAGTGGCCATCTTCAGCAAGAGAAAGCTTTGGATCTGTGCAGTAGAACTTAGTAAAGATTATTGGTTGACTAGATGCCTTTGCATCCAGTGGGGCCCAAGAGAACATCCAGTGCCACATTAAAATATGTTGTTAGTTTTGGAATAATGTTCCAGAAAATTATAACCACGGTGTTAGCAGAGTAATAGCACATACTGCTCTTACATCTTTCCCCTGGGAAACATAAGGCTGTCTTGCTTTGATGCACAGAGACTTTCTCAATCTGAAGCACACCATGCACCTTGCTGGGGGACTCAGGAATATTCTTCTGATTACCACTGAAACCATCAGTAAGAGGGCAGTGATATATACCTACAATGCTCCATCATTCTCCTAAGTCTAGATGAGACCTAGGTGAATACAGTTAAAAAGCATGCCCAGAAACATGCAGAAGCAGCAAGGACCATCATGAGGCTGTTGGCACCACCCCTGCCCACCTTCCACTTGCTAGCCTGCATGACTAAGCCTTCATTTAATGCAGGATCCCTTGGGAGCCAGTGTCAGCACACATTTGGAGCACAGCCTGTACCCACGACTCTGGTTCTGTGGTCAGGTGTCCTAATTCCTCTGCTGCCAGGTTGCTATGGACTGACACAAATTACATTATTAATGCCTGGCTATAGCTGTTGGAAGCAGTGAACCAGTTTTATTAAGCAGATAAATGCACCACCTTGAAGAAGAATGCATATTTTACCTTTCACAGTACTTTCCCTGCAGTATTTATCCCTGTAGTAGTGAATTACACTGCATGAAGAAGACAATCAGATCATAAAACCTGTATATATTCCTACACAGTGTGATTAACAGAGAAAGGAAATTGCTATTGCTCACACCTGCTATATACATTTTTCCAGATGCTCAGAAAGAACAGTGGTTATGTTTTTTCTCACTTTCAAAAGATAAAGAAGAATATCATCTGTCAAGCTTCAAGAGTAGATCAACAAGCCTCAGGTGAATTTCAAAATAGCAGAATTCAAAGGGCAGAGAGCACACCTAGCAATATGTGCTGCAAAATTCCCAGTACATTAGAAGTGCAATAAATAAATGATCATAACAATAAATCTGTCTTGCATGTAAATAACAATTCACCTTGATGTTTAAATATAGCAAGCAATATTTCCCACTGTACATCTGTTTTGATGCATCTATAAGGCCAAATCTTGAAGTGCTGTTCTGATGATCCTAACATCATGGTGCAAGAAACGGCACATAAAAACTAGGTAAGGAGAATTTAGGAAACTGAAATAAATAAAAATATACTCCTGGGAAATTAAAACAACACAAAGTAAATGTGTTCATGACAGTTCATAGAAGACTCAAGGGAATCTATTAGCTGTTTAAAAATTATATAGAAAGGATAACTGGCATCACCCAGTTTTAGGCGCCACATAAGCAAGTAATTCTCACCATATCCAGCAGAGAGGGAGAAGTTCCTTCACTGCCTCATTAGGTCTCTCCAAACTCAGGTGGTTTTGGTTGCCTTGTCCATGGTCTCACTCTCTGCTACCTATGGAAACAGTTTAGACAGCTTTGTTGGCTGATGTTGTGGCTGAGGCCACAGGATTCATCAGCTGGGCTGCCTCAGACACCATGAATGCTTGCCCTAAACATCTAATGCAGGCAAAAAAAATATCTTTTCTTCCTTATCTAATACTGCATTAATCTGACAGTCTTTATTCATACATTATTTCTCAAACAAAAGGTTTTGAAATTAATTTAGCTGGTTTCATTTGGGCTTTTTTTGTTTGTGTGTTTTCTGAAGATCAATATAATTTAAACATACCCAATGCAAAAAACAGTCTAGTAATACAAAAAGCAGGATGAAATACATCTGTAAAAGGTAGTTACATTTTCCCTTGACACAGTAGCCTACAGGATCCTAGGTGGTTACTTCTTCCCACAAGGCAGCTGAAGAAACTTCAGAAACTTTCTAGAGAAAAGAAGACAAAATCCAAGGTCTATATATTTTTTTAATACCTAGATAATTTCCAGATATGTGTTTAACTCATTGTATTTCAGAAACTTTTCATTTGATTATAGCTCTTCTTACCAAAATTCCATTTTCTGCCTTCTTCCAAAGGTTTGGTTGTTTTACTGGCACATTGAAAAACCCTGATGGAAGTAGGACAAGGTAGTCTCACAGTGCTGAAGCTGGCTGGTCTGCAGTGTCCTAGGCTGCCTCCTCCACTGGGGCTGAGCATACAGCTCTAACTCATGTCTCCCAGACCATCACAAACATCGCTATCTAAAACCCAAACGCTCATTCCTCCAATCTGTGGAAATATATAGAAACAAATGCACAGATTAATGTTCAGACTTGTAGCTTAAACTATACACATAGTTATAGAAACAAAATATGCTGCCACCAAAAAAATGCAGCCAAAGAGGAAAGACAAGGAAACTGGAGAGGTCAGGAGGACCAGAGTGGACAGCACATTGCACAGAAGCAGTAAGAATACAATGTCCCTCCTTCCCCTCCTGCTTTACAGCTGGGTTAGGTTACTTTTACTTTTACAGACTCACTTTCTAGAGTTCTGTACTCCTCTCATTGGTGGGAATACCAAAATCCAGCAAAACAAAACAGATGCTCAGGTAATGGCCTAAGCAGGTACACATGAAGGTTAAGGGTTTCTATGCTCTTTAGAGCAAGGACAGGTGGCAACACAGAGCTGAGTAGAAATACAAGCCCTTCTGAGCACTACTCAGTTCAATCCTGCCCAAACCAGCTAAATTTTCTGGATGTCACTTTCTGCTAGGTATCACCTAAACCTGTACAGCATTATCCCTTTTACTTTTCATGTCCATTCCCTTATCAGTCACACACTCTTCACTTATTCATAACAATGTGGTTTGGAAAAAAGCATTTCTTCTTATTTGGTATTTTTCCAACTCTGTGCCATTCCTATTCCACTAATACTTGGTCCAAGAAAAAATATTCAGCAGAACATATAGTGTGTATCCAGCAGAAGCTGCTGTGTAGTGTTCTCTGTCAAAGAGAGAAGAGCAGCTAAAGACAGAACTGCAGCTCAGACTGTTATTCCTGAACTCAGGCAACTAAAACAAGAGTTTTCATCACCAGCTTACCATCATTACTGCAAAGAACACCAATTTCTTTTTTAGTTTTTCAACGGATACCACTTTGATTGTCTGGTTTTGCATATAAATGTACCCAGTGTAGATGTTCCATGGTTTTAATCCATTCTCTAGGACATTCTTTTTTTCTTCCAAGGCATCCTGGTTTTTTGTCTTTTCACAGTGTTCCAATTAGGAATGCTTTTTCTTAATTCTGTATTTCTATAATGCATCTAGAGTAAAAAAAAAATAAAAAATAAATAAAGCAAGTCCTGTAAGCATGAAAACCCAAACTGGCACCAAATTAAAGTAAAAAGCTTTTAAAATGCTTCTAAAAATGCTTTTAAAATGCTTCTAAATTTTCTTTCAAGACAGAAAAAAGATTACAATGTTTGTCTTGGCATGCCATGTTCCCTTTGAAATACTGAGACTATTCTTGATATGTTCTTGTTTTCCTTGTATTTTATTTTAACAAGATGTGTCCTTTGGGAATGCATCATGAGTCCCTTTTCATAGGTTGGCTCTGTCATCTAACTGTGGCATCTCTCCAGTGCCAAGTATGCAATGTATATTTTTGTTAAATGTTATTTAAGTGAGGTTAAGAAATTTTCACAGACCTACGCAAGTCTCACAGACTTTGACACCAGATGTGTTATCTAGTGGTAACCCCAGAAAAAAAAAAAAAAAAGTGTTTTTTGCAGGAAAGCCAGGTAAACAAGTGTTAGAGCTGTTGAAATAACATGAAAACCTTCTTGAAACAGACTTACTGAATTCAATACAGTTCTCAGTTATGAGTTGTTCAGAAATGTCACAAGTCCTAACACCTCTTCTAACAGAATGCTGCAAAAAGCAGTTTCAAAACCTTGACATGGGAGATAAAGGAATGTGGACACATGGATGGAAGGAGAAAAATGTGTTGATAAAAATGCATGCACTTGATCAGAAAACAGTGACAATGTGACTTTAAAAACTTTAAAAAATCTAAATTTTTAAAAAATCTAAATTCCACAGCACCATGATTTTTAAGCCAGTATCAGGATCCTTTGAAGGGCCAAACTGTTAAGCTTACAGTGACTGGGCTGTCTGTACCAGTCACAAATCACAGATGTTGAGCAGTCCATGCAATCCATTGGTCAAATACAACTGTAATGACTGCTTCAAGGCTTTCTCAAGCTTAAATGTTTTCATGGATACTGGACAAGAGAAACAAAGAGCTACATAGGCTGTTTGGAACAAATCGTTACATTGGTCCTCACAGATCCTTTCAGTTGTGGATACAGTTTAGATGCTAAAATTTTCCTAATGTCTAAAACAAATTCAAAATAAAATTAGTCTGCACTAGCAGAAAATTAAAACACTGTCAGGGATGCTTCAGGACATTCAGTGAATATTACAGGCAAACCATTCATCCAGCTTGCTGGCAGCTTATGTTCAAATCCATTATTGACACTCTTCTATTTTTCCATAGTACAGTACTTGAGGATCTCCTGAAGAAAAAAGACCTGAAAAAACAACAAAAAAAATTACTTCTGGAGTGGTTATGATTTCCACTTAAAGCTTCAAACAATCTAGTTTCTCTTTTCTTTTCTTATTGCTTGATGCAAATATAGCACAAAGTACTGTAATGCAAAACTATATTCTCAGTTTCCCTTTGATACAGCTTTCCAGACATCCACAGCATATGTAAATCGTGTGAGTTTTCTTGCTTGTCAGGTCCAAGTTCAGACTGTCTTGGAATTTTGAAATATTTATTAGAGAATTGTATTGTCTTATTGCATCCCTCCCAAGCTTAGTCTTCATTTCTCTTTTTTCCCCCTCTTTTTCCCCAAATAAACAAAAATTAATAGTTATTGTTCCTATTCATGAAGAGGATGAATTCCAGGGTTATGTGATATGGCAGGTAAACAGAAAAACTATCCTTCTTGTGCAAGCCATACATACATTATGCTAAACTTGGTGTAGAGATAGCAAACCTCACAAGTTCTTGGCAACCCAGATTCATCACTGCTTGCAGATAGAATGAGATGACTGGCGGTGGTAGGAAGGCTGATAAGAAGAGGGGGTTTTTCAATTTTTAATTACACTTGGTAATTCATTGCAGAAATTAAGCCTAATATGTTGAGTTGTTTCATGGCTGTGAAGATGTTTCACATGGCCTGCACTGCCCTTGACAGCAGGTGGGGTTTTGGATAAACAGCATCAGGAAGCAGCTAGCAAAAGACAAAAGAAACACTCTTGGAAAAATTATGTTGGAATTTGAGCAACATGTTTTCCAGGCAGCTCAGCTCCTAAGAGAAACACAGATTATTTCAGTTCAAAAGCATTTTTTTCCAACTGAGGAAAAATCCCAGAGATAAAAAACTACACAGCAGTAATGCTTGGCCAAAAGGGTTTGAGCTACTCTAATATTTGTGTGATACATATCAGCCACTGTTTCAGCTTTAGCATCTGAAGACTCAGTGTTAGACTTCAGCCTGAAAAAGAAAGGAAATGAGGAATATCCCACAGAAATACTGCTTTCAATATGGGCTCCTCCTGGGAGCACTCTGACCTGGGTCCTGCCATCCCTCTCACCACTGCATGTTGCAGAGAGACAGCAATGCAAGTGTGCAAAGGCAAGATTCAGCTGCTGTGAGAACCACTCCTGGATGGGTACAGATCTAAGACCTGTTTTCAATCTGCAGGGTTGCTTTCAGTGCATCCCTGTTCTTAAGGGATTCAGATGTTTGGGACCCCAGACACTCATTTGAAAGGCTGCCTGCAGAGAGAGACGGGATGAGGAAAAACTGACAGTAGCTTCATTGTGCAGGTGCAGCATGATTATTATCCATCTCCAAAGAAAACAGGGCTTTCTCAGACCAGTTTCAGATTTCTGGATGAGTTTCCACTGGAATTATCTCCAGCACAAAGCTCACTATCATCTACTTTGAATGTGAGTCACGCACACACATACAGAACCATGTACAGATAATATAACTATTTTAAAAGAGGTCAAAAATAAAGAGACCACAAAAGTCCTCTTTAGAATGAATGGAAGAGAAAAAACCATATCTAGCAGATGAAAATTTCACCAGTTAATGCACTTCTGGAAGACATTCAACCCTGTGATGTGCAGCATATAAGAACCAAAACAAAACTTACATAACATTGCATTACATTGACATAGTTTTCTAGGTAGAGGCACTGGCTGGAATCCATATAAACATATCCATGGAAAAATAATATCTCATCCACATGTACAAGATTTACCAAATAAGAAGAGGTATCACAGCACTTGGCAATTATCACGACATGCACTTCATAAAGTGTAGCTATGAAGAATATCCACTGTTTCCTAATAGGAAATAGCTAATATGGGAGAGAGTTTTATTCAATTGTTTCCTGCCTTGCAAGGAAACAATTTTATCCCATGGATACTACACAACACACCCCTCAAAAGTCTAGGCTTGGTAGCACTCCATATTTTGATGAAACACCAGGACATATTTCACGTTGTCCTAATCCTTACTTTGCTCCATGTAAAGCTATTTTGGAAGCATTTAAGTCTCAATGTCCAAAATAGAAACTTTAATTAACATCTCAGATATGAAGACTATTTTTAAAAGAGTTATGGTGCAGCTCTTATCCTGCTAAGCAAAAATTCAAAACATTCAATCTGCATGTTAAACATTACAAAACAGAAAGTGTCACCAGCATCCTCATTTATAAGCATGTGTAAGTATTCTTGTTTTTGATAATTAAGAACTAAGCAAAACCTTGCCATGAGATGTGTCATCAAACTTGTATAGTTGCACAACACCTTGAAAAAAGACATAAATAAACCCAGCCTTTGCTGAGAATTTAGAAGCATTGCTTCCATTATATTTCAGGGTCTGTATACTTTTTTAAAAGGCTTCTGAATCAGATCTTAATGACTTCAACATAAACCCTTGATAACAGGGTTGAGCATTCTTCTCTTCTTTTCATATTTTTCCTCATGTGGTAAAACAAAAGGCATGAAATTATTCCAGAAACCTTGATCCAAATAGATAAAAGGAAGGAACTGAAGGAGTGCCTGATAATACAATAGACTCAATGTAAAATAAATTTTATTTCCCTAGCCTTTGATTGCTCCTATTCAATCCAGATACTTATGCTTCTTCTGGCCCTCTTGCTACCAGAGCAACCTGCC